TTAAACATGAAACAAGTTGCTTATATATAGTGGGTCACCTGTCTGAGAAATATATAAGCCACTGGTGTACGAGGAATAATAATAGACTAAATAAAACAAACCAGTTATTTACAACATCCGTAAATAACAGAGGTAAACTATGTACATAAACAACAACATATTTACATTCAATAACTTCTTCGTAATCTTATCTCTCGATAAAAAGAGTGAAGGTAAATCCTTCATTTAATCCATTCAGGGCCAAAGTCCTGAACCTGTATATCTAATAGGATTCTCGTTTGAGGAGGGTAAGATCCAGGTCACCTCCTCTGCGTCCCAAAGTCACCTTTTCAATCCCTGCAAATCTAACATCTCCTGGATCTCCTTGATGGTGGTTTCTTATGTGATTTTGGGACAGTCACTAAATATTGATTTTTTTTCACAGATCAAGTTAAAAGTGAGTGAGATAGGAAGATATTTTACAGATATTTGGAAGTAATGATCTGCCACATGGGTAAATATCAAATTACCTGACATCTAATATTTATATAATGTTATAATATCCAATCTGAGTTGCCCCTTTCATAAAATAAGCTTGTTCAGGTTTTACAGCATTTCTTCAAAACTAAAATCTTCCACTCCTCTTATTAAGGCCTTGATTTAACAAGGTTTCCATACTATTCCATACTGTTAGAAAAACTTTCCAAATGATTTTGCTACAAAAGTAACCATTAAAGTCTATGAGAATATGTGTAAATTAATCATTTGTAAAGGTTTTTTTTAACAGTATTGAATCTTTTGGAAAGCAAGCACTCTTTCTAATTTCATAGCATCTCCTTTAAAAAAGAGCCCTAAATTTCACCATATAATCAAGGTGGAGTATTTTCATTAATTCCTAAAGAGGTAAGATTTTTGTCATGAATTAATAACCCTTTTTATACATAAAAAAATCTTTACTGACCTTGGCAACTACTACCTGACTTTGCATATGTGTGCCTGGTCTGTTGTTTAGAACAATTCCAAAATTATTCTTATGTATTGTTTTATTTAACAAAGTACCATTTAGAGTATAACGTGGATCAGCAATCCCCATCAAAAAAAGAATAAAATTAGGCTGCCAAGTCTCCTAATGTTTCCATATTCATTTACACTATTTGCAATATACTGATTCTCTTGTATACTGGACTATTCATCTTATCTCCTTGGGGGAATCATGGGAGAACATTAACGTGGGGGAGAAACTCAAGTACATATTGGATATTTTGTTGCATACCCCCTAGCCCATACTTGACAACTTGCACAGTCAAGACTCATCATAAACTACATCCATGGAGTTTGTGGAGTTCCATCATTTGCAGGCTCTGACAAGCTTTATTTTTGGAAATTCATGGTACATCTAATGGAAAACGTTTTCAAAACCATTAGGCTTATTTTTCATGCATAATAAACTAATAGTAACAAAATCTCTCTTCAAAGTGAAGCTGCATAATATGATATAAAGGTTGTTAATTGCTAAACCAAATACAACAAAAATGTGGCAGAATCTAAGGGATTGATTGTTTCATCTAACATAATTTTACTATAATGTTTGACTATATTATTGCACAAGAAATGTGTAGTGAATACTGAAAATAGGTTGTGTTACCATAGATTTTTGAAACTATTGTAGAGTATAAAAAATAATGTATTTTTGTCTGGAAAGGAAATTTAATTTAAATAATATAAACATGAGATGTGAGCTGAGCAGCAATGAATGCAATAAATGATTCCCTGAAACTTCAGTTATGTACTACCAAATATTTCTTCCTATAATCCTATCTGTATAAACTAACATTTATAGAGAAAGTCAAAGATTGCCTTTGAAATCCCCATTTTAGCGCACAAAAGTAATGTATGGTATTTGAATTTTTTACTATTTCACCTGTATAGTATGCAAAAAAAGTGTCAGAATGTGTTTTTACAAGAAACACAAGGGACACAGCTAGGATTTTATATTCTCATTTGAACATCTTATTAATTGCAAATGTAGAGTTAAGGAGAGATTAATAATAGAAAAAACAAAGATACACCGCGCCAAACCTCAATGTTACTTTTATACTTAAATACGTCACTGAAGTGTTCCAGTTGAGTGGACCGCAGAGTATAAAAACTGAACAAAACAAATAATAGTGCAATACAGTATAGAGATGTGAGAATGATTTATCTAACTTGTTATTGACACACTCACATTTACCAGAGCTAACTCAGAGCTCTGCTGTTATGCAAACCGATGGTATAATCCCTGTCTCAGGATCTAAGTTGGTCCAAATAGCAGGAGATCTCCAGATGAGGTGCAATTTGAAGCCTTGAAGAGATGAAATGAGTAAAGTATGGTCTCCTATTGCCTTGCTTTTGATGATGCCTTGAAGAGATGCATCAAGTGCGGTGCCCTATAGATTATTTGGACTATTCCTTTTTTCATTGTTTTTATAATTTTTTTATAGTATATTCATGTAATAAAATTTAACTTTTAATCTGCTTACATTTTTACTTACCCATTCATCATCTTGCTTCCTGGTATCTACAATATACTTTGGTCCGGAGTGTGTTTACTTGGCATAGTTCAGAGATCATATAGGCAGATAGGTGAAGGAGTTGTGAGCATTCATTTTTTAACCCACAATAAATATGTTGTAGAGCAGGAGTGCTGATGAAATGATAGATCGCTAGATTTTGTAGACCTACATCTTCCATAATACTTTGCTATTCTAAAGGCTGGCAAATAATTTACGGAAGTTGTAATTCTAAAACAACTATGGATCTACCATTTTTGGCACCATAGGTCAATAAACTGCAATCTTTAAGTTTGGATTCAAATATTGTTGAATGGGTAAGGCAGTGGCTGAGTGACAGGCAACAAAGGGTTGTAGTTAATGGAATATATTAGAAGCTTGGACTTGTCACCAGTGGGGTACCTCAGGGATCTGTACTTGGACCCATTCTCTTTAATATTTTTATTAGTGATATTGCAGAAGGTCTTGATGGTAAGGTATGTCTTTTTGCTGATGATACTAAGATATGTAACAGGGTTGATGTTCCAGGAGGGATAAGCCAAATGACAAATGATTTAGGTAAACTAGAAAAATGGTCAGAATTGTGGCAACTGACATTTAATGTGGATAAGTGCAAGATAATGCATCTTGGACGTAAAAACCCAAGTGCAGAGTGCAGAATATTTAATAGAGTCCTAACCTCAACATATGAGGAAAGGTATTTAGGGGTGATTATTTCTGATGTCTTAAAGGAAGCAGACAATGTAATAGAGCAGCAGGAAATGCTAGCAGAATGCTTGGTTGTATAGGGAGAGGGATTAGCAGTAGAAAGAAGTGCTCATGCCATTGTACAGAACACTGGTGAGACCTCACTTGGAGTATTGTACACAGTACTGGAGACCGTATCTTCAGAAGGATATTGATACCTTAGAGAGGGTTCAGAGAAGGGCTACTAAACTGGTTCATGGAAAACTTACTAGGAAAGGTTAAGGGATCTTAACATGTATAGCTTGGAGGAAAGACGAGACAGGGGGGATATGATAGAAACATTTAAATATATAAAGGGAATCAACACAGTAAAGGAGGAGACTATATTTAAAAGAATGAACAAGAAAGTTGGATACCCAAAAGGGGAAGCAACTGGGTGTGCATCTAGGGGCGACCAAGATAGGGGGTAACCCTCACATACGTGTATAAATTGAAAAGCAGACCTAATAGGTCAGAGAAAATAGGGCACCCCCTAGTAGATAACTATACATATATACAAAGGAATAAAACACTATCCTGCCTGCTACCTAACACGTGTTTCGGCGCTGCCTCAGAAGAAGGCGCGTTTAGCAGCGCCGAAACACGTGTTAGGTAGCAGGCAGGATAGTTCAAAGCCTGGACGCCGACTAGTATAGTCTCTTCAAATGATCAGCTAGCCAATGTTACTCTATTAGAACTTCAACACGATTTACTAGAAGGGGTGGGGAAGGTGTGGGTAACGGGGAACTTTCATTTTTTCACTAAACACCGTCAAGTGTATTGTGTGATAGCTTTCTCTAGCGCTATCGACTAGATTATAGGTTTCCTTTTTCCCCCTCAGTGACAGGGTTGCAACATTGCCATGATGCCTGCTACACTGTATCTATCTAGTTGCCGTATTCAGACTAGTGGATGATCGCACAGTTAATAGACCTTTCTCATTATTTTTTGCTACAGTCTTCTCCCAAAGTGTATATATATTTGCTACTTTCTTACCCCATCAGTTTCTGTTTCTGTCACTGAAAGGGGACTTTGAAGGGAGTTTGTATAGCGATTGTAGAGGATTTTTTTCTATATTTAGGCAAGTTCCTGAGGTACTATCACTGAGAGACGGATCATACAGGTTGGGGGGATTCTCAGCTCTATTTAGCTTGATATCCTTTAGGTGATTCCCTTAGGATAATTATCCCCTTCCAGGCATATATCCTCCTAGTTTTTTTATTACAGCGACAATTAAAGGTTATGTTTTATTCCTTTGTATATATGTATAGTTATCTACTAGGGGGCGCCCTATTTTCTCTGACCTATTAGGTCTGCTTTTCAATATATTCAAAAGAAGAAAAACTACCACAACAAGAGGACATAGTCTTAAATTAGAGGGACAAAGGTTTAAATTTAATATAAATTATATATTCATATGTATTTTCATTCTAACTGTATTTTGTTATTAATATATATATATATAGGTAACAAAATACACTTAGAATGACATTCTATATATATCTATCTATATATAAATTACAAATAACCGCAAATATATATATATATATATATATATATATATAAATAGGTTATGGTGGGGAAAAATTGTGATTGAAAACCCCTTCCACCTGAAGTATGTGGATAGTTAATACAATGCTAAACAAAAATCTGCACACCAGTCAAGCCATAAGACTTGCTTTTCCCACAGAAATCCCAAATCAGCAGTGATGTTACAACCGCAAAGGATTCTGGGTGGGCATATGCAAATTAGTTTAACAAAGAATCACATTTTTGCCTCATTCCATTTTAAACATGGATTCCTTTTAATTTGTGTTTGCAGTATACAACTGCTTGGAACACAATTTAGGATAAGATGCAAAACCAGTGAACCACTCATGGACAGCTGTTTCGTTGTTAATGCAACTCTTCAGCATGAGGTTGGTTACTGGTTTGCTTAGTGAGGCTTGGTAGTGCTTGGGAATCCACATACTTCAGGTGGAAGGGGTTTTCAATCACAATTTTTCCCCACCATAACCTATTTGGATTTTGCTTCCCAAGCACTACCAAGCCTCACTAAGCAAACCAGTAACCAACCTCATGCTGAAGAGTTGCATTAACAACGAAACAGCTGTCCATGAGTGGTTCACTGGTTTTGCATCTTATCCTAAATTGTGTTCCAAGCAGTTGTATACTGCAAACACAAATTAAAAGGAATCCATGCTTAAAATGGAATGAGGCAAAAATGTGATTCTTTGTTAAACTAATTTGCATATGCCCACCCAGAATCCTTTGCGGTTGTAACATCACTGCTGATTTGGGATTTCTGTGGGAAAAGCAAGTCTTATGGCTTGACTGGTGTGCAGATTTTTGTTTAGCATTGTATTAATTATCCACATACTTCAGGTGGAAGGGGTTTTCAATCACAATTTTTCCCCACCATAACCTATTTGGATTTTGCTTCCCAAGCACTACCAGCCTCAATAAGCAAACCAGTAACCAACCTCATGCTGAAGAGTTGCATTAACAACGAAACAGCTGTCCATGAGTGGTTCACTGGTTTTGCATCTTATCCTAAATTGTGTTCCAAGCAGTTGTATACTGCAAACACAAATTAAAAAGAATCCATGTTTAAAATGGAATGAGGCAAAAATGTGATTCTTTGTTAAACTAATTTGCATATGCCCACCCAGAATCCTTTGCGGTTGTAACATCACTGCTGATTTGGGATTTCTGTGGGAAAAGCAAGTCTTATGGCTTGACTGGTGTGCAGATTTTTGTTTAGCATTGTATTAACTATCCACATACTTCAGGTGGAAGGGGTTTTCAATCACAATTTTTCCCCACCATAACCTATTTGGATTTTGCTTCCCAAGCACTACCAAGCCTCACTAAGCAAACCAGTAACCAACCTCATGCTGAAGAGTTGCATTAACAACGAAACAGCTGTCCATGAGTGGTTCACTGGTTTTGCATCTTATCCTAAATTGTGTTCCAAGCAGTTGTATACTGCAAACACAAATTAAAAGGAATCCATGTTTAAAATGGAATGAGGCAAAAATGTGATTCTTTGTTAAACTAATTTGCATATGCCCACCCAGAATCCTTTGCGGTTGTAACATCACTGCTGATTTGGGATTTCTGTGGGAAAAGCAAGTCTTATGGCTTGACTGGTGTGCAGATTTTTGTTTAGCATTGTATTAACTATCCACATACTTCAGGTGGAAGGGGTTTTCAATCACAATTTTTCCCCACCATAACCTATTTGGATTTTGCTTCCCAAGCACTACCAAGCCTCACTAAGCAAACCAGTAACCAACCTCATGCTGAAGAGTTGCATTAACAACGAAACAGCTGTCCATGAGTGGTTCACTGGTTTTGCATCTTATCCTAAATTGTGTTCCAAGCAGTTGTATACTGCAAACACAAATTAAAAGGAATCCATGTTTAAAATGGAATGAGGCAAAAATGTGATTCTTTGTTAAACTAATTTGCATATGCCCACCCAGAATCCTTTGCGGTTGTAACATCACTGCTGGTTTGGGATTTCTGTGGGAAAAGCAAGTCTTATGGCTTGACTGGTGTGCAGATTTTTGTTTAGCATTGTATTAACTATATATATATATATAGATAAATACATATAATTACATAAAAGATTACATTAGTATACACATAGAATTTAAATACCTATAAATGCATATATATAAAAATTTTACGTGTATATTTAAGTAATCTTTTAACGTAATTATATGATTTGATTAATTAAAATTTGATTGACATGCCTGACAACACAAGGAGAAAGTGCAGAGAATTTAATTCGCAAGCACTATATTTGACCCTGTAACTCTCCAAGACACCAAAAAACCTGTACATAGGGGGTACTGTTTTACTCAGGAGACTTTGCTGAACTCAAATATTAGTGTTTCAAACTGGTAAATTGTATTACAATGATGATATTTTAAGTAAAAGTGAAGTTTTTTTGCATTTTTTACAAACAAAGGCACTTTTATGGACTATATTATTGTTGTAATATATTTTACTGTTTTAAAACACTAATATTTGTGTTTAGTGAAGTCTCCCGAGAATAACAGTACCCCCCATGTACAGGTTTTATGGTGTTTTGGAAAGTTAGAGAGTCACATATAAGGCTTGCATTTCATTTTTTGACATTGAAATTTGTCAGATTGGTTATGTTGCCTTTGAGAGCGTATGGTAGCCCAGGAATGAGAATTACCCCCATGATGGCATACCATTTGCAAAAGTAGACAACCCAAGGTATTGCAAGTGGGGTATGTCCAGTCTTTATTAGTAGCCACTTAGTCACAAACATTGGCCAAATATTAGTTTTTTGCTTTTTTCACACAAAAACAAATATGAACGCTAACTTTGGCCAGTATTTGTGACTAAGTGGCTACTAAAAAAGAATAAATTATGTTCCATATATGAATAGTTAATGATAAATTAAAGCCCTGTTTCTCCTGAACAAAATAATATATAATAAGTGTGGGTGCACTTAATGTGACAGCGGTGAATTACGGTTGAACAGACATATAGTGCAAATTCCAGTTTTTATTTACGTTTTGTTTTGATCAGAACGTGCGCTATTGACTCCGTCCTGAAGGGGTTAATATAATGATACATTGCCATGTCACTCAATACAAAACAGTGTTGGTAGATTATTGTGATGGACCGCTTGGCACCCCGACAGGGAAAAGTCAGCCAATCGCTGCTTCCTAGTACTTGCGAGCACCATAAGTACTGAACTGGAACACCATAATCACCGTAAACCCCACATACCACTGCAGCTTGGTTGGGGTCTCGCTGTCCTCCACCCACTCTGGACCCAAGACCAGGATCCAGCTTCCAGTGGGTAGACCTCTCCTAGTCCAGAGAGTGAAGCAGGCTGGTCTTATAAGTGCAAGTGTTGTGATCCAAGGGAGTATAGTGATTACAGAAATCCCCAGAGTGAATATAGATCTCCAATCCCCCAAACATGAGCCTAGACTTTATGAAGGGCAAAATGAATCTCAGTTTAATGGTAGCCACAACTGTCTATGGGCACTCCCTCCTGGACCTGAGAGTAAACCACAGTAGAAACAAATACACATTTACATTGGCTCTCAGGTCCCTTAGAAAATAGGTCTATACTAAACTCAATTATCTCCAAACACAAAAAACACACATTTTTACAAACCCCCCAAAATACCTTAAAACACACAAACTCCTACACAAGTTACATCACCTGATAGCCCTGATCTGGGTGACCAGCATATCTAAAAATCACCCATATTAGTTCAGGGGTTCAGGAATTTCCTGGAAGTCTTGTTTTTGACCGACCACCAGCATGGTCCCAAGCCCAAAACAGTTTTAGAGAATGAGGGCTTGCGTTCGGGCTAGTTTGGAAGTTTGGTAGTACCCTGGAGCTTGTTCCCCTCTTCCAGATGAACAATTTCTCCAAACAGTGCCCTTATAAATTCTATAGAACCGAACGCAGGCAATGAAGGAAGTCCAGAGGTATTCGGGAGTTTCTGTGTCCTATTTTATTTTCATGAGATTCATGCCCAAACATCGCTGACTGTGTTTGTGCGAACAAGATGGCTGCCACTTCGTGGCTGTCCATAGGAATTGCAGCCACCCAGATGAACAATTAGAACACTGCAGTGAGAATCATTTCAAGGTTTTAATAGGTGTTAACAAGCTCCTGGGTGGTCCCTGTGCGGTTGTTCGGTAGTCGAATGGGACAATGTTAGAATAGGAGGGGATGGCAATCTACCGAACAGAATAGCAAAAAGGCACAAAAAAGGTATTTTATGAGCCTTTTTGCATAACCCATAGTCTTGAGGCAATAGGATGGCAAACAGGCCCCTCCAAGAACATGTGACAAGTCTCAGTTTGTCACAATTATTATCCTAGAATATTGGCACACTGATTGGTCCAGTAAAGTGTAAACCACTGTAATTACTTCTATAACTGCCGATTAAGTAGAACTCTGTGTGTCAAAAACATAATTTCTGGTTCTGGTCTATTAAATTAGAAGAACCACACAGCAAGCAAAAATATTGAATTTAATGTTTCATGTTTTTCTCAAGTGAGACTCCAAAAATGCTTGTCTTGTGCTTGCGATCAAAAAGTATTTTTTTTGCCTTGTAGTAGACATAGAAAAATAAAATCCACACTTTGTGCACTAGTAATTTAGGGACAGACTGCTGTTCCTCTATGTATTTCTTACTTTTCCAGCATTTCTTAGTTGAAATGTTTTTTATTCTAAACATTGTCCATAATAAACCAAACCCTTTTTTCATATTGGGTTTCTTTTTCTGCTTTTGTTTTGGATGTATATTTTGCTAACAAAATCAGCAGTTGGTATTGTAATGAAGACTATCCCATACCAATCTTAAATTTCTTCAGGCAGTGTTTCTGTAGATCCACGCTGTGACGGCAATCTGTCCCATCTGTTTCTTCCTTCAGAGCCTGAAGTAATTTCCAAGTAGGGTCTGAAACCCTACACCTTGCATAGGACCTATGAAAAGCAGATTTATATTCTGCTGACTTCAATGACCTCTGTGCAAACACTAGGCAATTCATTATTGAGTATTTTATATCCCCAGAGATATTTTTATCCCAGTTGGATTTATGATATATTAATAGGAAAAAAAAAACTACTATCATTTTCAAGATTTGGAATGCATTGTAATTGTGTAAATGATTAATGTTTATATGTCTATTAATTATTTTAAAAAAAGAAGTGGTGTTGGCTAGAACTGAGAAATGAATGGTTAATGCAATGTTAATTAGCATTAGGAAATTTAATGCTATAATTGTTTCAAAGAATGTCATTATTAAACTTAAATAAAAAATATGTTGAAAATTGAGTAAATATTTGCAACATTTAAATGTCAGAACTGTATTTTTCTCCAATAAATGATTTTGAGGCAAAGGGAAAATATGTGTAGATAAAAACAGTTATAATGATTGATGATTTTAAACATTTC